AAAAATGACATAATATAAAAACTATAGAAATGTTAATAAACTATAAAGTTTTAGCCTTATTTATTTATTGATTTCCTCACCAATTTTTTTGGGGGGTCGGTCCTGGGCTCAAAGCCTGGGTGCTGTCCCTGAGCTTTTTTGCTCAAGGGCAGTGCTCTACAATTTTGAGACACAGCACCACTTCCAGTTTTCTGGTGGTTATTGGAAATTAATCTCTCAGACTTTCTTGCCTGGGGTTGGCTTTTAACTCAGATCTAAGCCTCCTGAGTAGCTAAAATTACAGGCTTGAGCCACTGGTGCCCAACTTTTCTAGAATTACAAGCTTGAGCCACTGGTGCCCAACTTTTCATGAGACTTGCCCAGATTTTCATGAGACTCTTATCCTCAATTAACTCCCAAAGCCTGAAGTAGAGCTGTAGCTCAAGTGGTATAACACTAGCTTTGAGCAAAAAAGCTCAAGAAACAGAGCCCAGTTCCTGAATGCAAGCTTAAGTACCAGTATTTAACAAAAAAAAAAAGAGCATCAAAGCATTCACTTATAAAATAACATAATAGAAAATGTAGTTTTTTAATGTTGTGCACAATGATTAAGAAAAAAATATAATAAAACAGAATTAAACCCTGATGGAAAAAAAAATATGTTCTATCTACTATGCTCTAAAGATTTGTGTCTCTTCAGAATTCATTTGTTGAAACCTAATCACCAATGTGATTATTAGAGGGTGGGCCTTTGAAAGGTTTATAAGCCTTGAAGGCAGTGACTTTTATGAATGGCATTAATAACTCCTAAAGGAGGCTTTGTCACTTTTCCCATGAGAAGGCTCAGTAAGAAGATACCATCTATGAGCCAAAAAGAGGCCCTCAAAAGACATTAAATGTCTGGTAACAAACTCGTAAAATCATGGTACTATCCTGCTAAAAAGAAAATAATTAATTGATTGGCTTCATATGTTTGGGATATTGCTGAGGTAACATCCAAAACATATATAAAATATTGAAACATTTTACTAGCAAAGAAAGTCACAAAGGACCATATAGTATATGATTCTATTCATAAGAAACATCAACACAGAGGTAAATGAGTCCTTGGCTAGGGCTAAGGAAGATGGGAGATTAAAGAGGGCTGGCCTGCATCACAAGGTGTTCTTACAGGGTAATGAAAGTATTCAAAATTAACTGCAGTGGTGATGTACAACTCTGTGAATATTCTAAAAGCCATTGAACTGTATACATTAAATAAGTGAACTGTATATATGTGTATATTTCATTAAAGATGTTAAAGTAAAAGCAGGGTGGTAAAGAGCAAATAAAGATATAAGGTCAATGAATCACATTTTAGAAATTAATCAAAAAGCAAAAATCTCAAGGGAAACTATACACCAAGAACCATTATTATTAGAATTTATAAAATACTGTAATTTTTTACATCATTTTAATCCATTTATCTCATTCTTCATAGTGACAAAAAGTAAAATATATAAAGTTAAAAGTACAGAATGCTTCTTTATCATCTTGATTAAAGCTTGAAAGCCTGTAAATTACTACATAGACAGGCTTTATTGAAGCTTTCAATAAAGAAGAAAAGAGCCAGATGCCGGTGACTCATGCCTGTTATCCTAACAGGATATTCAGGATGTTGAGATCTGAAGATTATTGAGGTTTGAAGCCAACCCAGGCAGAAAAGTCTAATCTCTATTTAACTACCAAAAAAAGTGCCAGAAATGAACTGTGACTCAAGTGGTAAAACACTAGCCTTGAAATGCTCAGGAACAGTGCCCAGGATCAAGCCCCAGGATCAGCTCTCTCTCTCTCTCTCTCTCTCTCTCTCTCTCTCTCTCTCTCTCTCTCTCTCTCTCTCTCTCTCTCTCTTCTCTCTCTCTCTCTCTTCCTCTCTCTCTCTCTCTCTCTCTCACACACACACACACACACACACAAAACCAGAAAAGTTAAAATGTTAGCTTGAGTATGAAATAAATTATGCAGATTAAGCCGGGTACAGGTGGCTCACACTTGTAATCCTAGCTACTCAGGAGACTGAGATCTGAGGATCCCAGTTCAAAGCCAGCCCCAGGCAGAACTTCTGTGAGACTCCTATCTCTAATAAATCACTCAGAAAATGGAATGGTGCTGTGGCTCAAGTGGTAGAGAGCTAGCCTTGAGCTGAAGAGCTGAGGGACAGCACCAAGGCTCTAGAGTTCAAGCCCCACGACCAACCAAAAAAAATTATGCAGATTAATAGGAAAACTCTAATAAGTACTGGGCCCTAGTGGCTTTCACCTATAATCCTATCTACTTAGGAGGCTGAGATCTGAGGATCATAGTTCAAAGTCAACCCTAGAAGACAAATCTGAGAGACCCTTATCTCCAATAACCAGCAAAAAAAAAAAAAAAACAAAAAACAGAAATAGAGATATGGCTGAAGTAGTAGTGGTAGAGTGTCAGCAGTGAGCGAAAAAGCTGAGCAAGAGGTCTTACAAGTTCAAGCCCCAGTACTGGCACACACAAAAAAAAGAAAATCAGAAAAAAAAAAAAAAAAACATCTACTAAGAGTGAGAGTCATAACATATCCCAGCACTTAGGAGGCTGAAATAGGAAGATCTTTTGTTTCAGGACAGTGAGGCTACATATTGAGACCTTGTCTCAAAAAAAAAAAAAAAAAAAAAAATCTAAGAATTCAACTGAAAAGAGTAGCTATCACTTTATCCAAATTCCATTTCTTCATCTTTGATTTAATTCACGATGCATCATACTGCTTCCAAAATATATATGTGACCTTATTTGGAACTACTACAGATGTAATCAAATTAATGGCTGGTATTCTTACAGGCAGAATGAACATAGGCACACAGAAGAGAATACACTGTGAAGACATACATAGGTAGGGACACACAGAGAGTAATATGACAATAACAGGTTGAGATGAGATGATGCATCCATTAATCAAAGACAGCAAGAACTGTCAGCAACTATTAGCTCAATGACTGAGGCATGATCCTCCACACAGATCTGGTATGGCCCTGCCAATGCTTTGATATCAGATTTCCAGAGATTTGACAGAATAAAACCACTTACTGATGCTTTATTAAAGTTCTCAGAACTTAATATACTCAAGCCATAACATTTTGGCTCCTAATACATCTGTGGATGGTCACTTGTCCTTAAGGATCAAATTCATTGTTCTTTTTCAGAATTCATTTTCTTTGAGCACATCATTATACTACTAAGATTTTCTACTTGGAATATCTTTTATCTTTATTCTTGGAAACTTTCTACTCTCTCAGGCAAATATTTCTCGGTGTCTTTTATTTCTTAGAATTCAATTTTATGTATGTATGTATGTATGTAGTGGTCTGGGGGCTTGAACTCAGGTCCTGGGTAATGTCCCTGAGCTTTTTTGCCCAAGGCTAGTGCTTTACAACTTGAGCCACAGCTCCTCTTCCAACTTTATTGTAGTTAATTGGAGATTAGAGTCTCACAGACTTCTCTTCCTGGACTGGCTTTGAACTACAATCCTCAGATCTCAGCTTCCTGAGTAGCTAGGCTTATAGGCATAAGCCACTGGTGCCTGGCTTAAAACTTTTTATAAAGTTACTTACTAGACATTTCCACTGAAATATCCTCTGGCATTCAAATTGTATCTTATAGTAAAACCTTTTTTGTGTACTGGAGCTTGAACTCAGGGCCTGAGGGCTGATAGCACTCTACCACTTGAGCTATAACTCTGCATCCAGTTTTTTGTTTTTGTTTTTTTGGGGGGGAGTGGCTAATTGGAAACAAGAGTCTCATAGACTTTCCTGCTCAGACTGGCTTCCAACTGTAATCCTCGTATCTCACTCTCCTGAATAACTAGGATTATAGGCCTGAACCATTGACATTTGGCAGGACCCATTTTTTAATAGTCTAATAACATGTCCTAAAACAAATTTATCTTTTCTTTCTACAAACAATAACAAAAGCATTTCTTATTCCTAATGCCCCAGACTGAGTTGATTGTTGTCTACACACCAGACTTATTTATCTCTAAGGATGTTATAACAGAAGAATAAAGTAATACAATAGTCAACGTATCTCCAAAAAGAGCACACAAATAAGGGTAATATTCTAATATCTGGGAGCAAATAGGAGAAATGCCTTCTGTGCATTTGTATAACAAAAGAGGACAGATTCCCCTGGAACCAGTTCTCTCCTCAACAGTCTACCACCAAACAAGCACCTTCTGAGGAACAGTAGAAGAAATCAGAAACACACAGATGGTACTTCATACTAAAATTTCAGGTAATCCTCTCACTCATTAGCTTAAGAATACAATTAATTTTGTTCTGCTAATTGTGATAAAACATGCCTATAATCCCAGCATTTAAGTAGGAAGATTGAGGGTTTGAGACTAGTCTAAACTACATAGCAAGACTGTCTCAAAAGAAAATATTATTTGATTCTTGCAAGATAGGGATGTAGCTCAATGGTAAAGGACTTGCCAAGTATGTATGAAACCCTGAGTTCAAACCTCAGTACACATTATTTTTTTGGCAGTATTGGTGGTTTGAGCTTAGGGCCTTGAGCTTGTTAGGCTAGTACTGTATAAGTAAGCCAGAACTCCACCCCTGTCTTTTTTTTTTTTTTTTTTTTTGTCGGTCATGGGGCCTGAACTCAGGGCCTGGGTGCTGTCCCTGAGCTCTTCAGCTCAAGGCTTAGTGCTCTTGTGGCTAAAGCCACAAGGCCACTTCCAGATTTTTCTGCTTACGTGTTGCTGAGAAATTGAACCCAGGGCCTCTTGTATGCAAGGCAAGCACTCTACCACTGAGCCACCTTCCCAGCTGTCTTTCATTTTTTATTATTGAGACAGGGTGTCACTTCTCACTCAGTACACACCTGAGCCAGGATCCACCTCCTATGGACTTCCCATTATTGCTGCAATCACAGGCATATGGACACTTTGCTATAGACTTTTCTGCTAGACTGGCCAGGCACCACAATCCTCTCATATAGCTTGGGATGACAGGTTCACCTCACTGTACTCAGCTATCAGTTAAGAAGGCAGTCCTATAAACTTTTCTGCCAGGCTGGCCACAAACTGCAACTCTCCCATTTTCTGCCTCCTAAGTAGCTAGGATTATAGTTGTAAATCACTGGATCCCAGTTCACAAACAATTTTTTTAATTTAATTCCTCAGGACAACATATAGTTCCTGGGATCCTCCCTGTACAAGCTATAAAGGATATCAGATATTCCTCATTTCTCCATACTAAAAGTAAGATAGCCAAACACCAGCGGCTCATACTTGTAATCCTTGCTACTAAGGAGGTTGAGATCTGATGATTGTGATTCAAAGCCAACCTGGACAGGAAAGTTCATGAGATTCTTATCTCTAAGAAATTACTCGGAAAGCGCTAGCATTGGGCACAAAGAGACTCAGGACAGCACCCAGGCCCTGAGTTCGAGCACCAGGACTGGCAATAAATAAATTAATTAAATAAATAAATAAGTGTAGTTCCTACCTCATTATCAGCTCCAAAAGCATTGATTTGCTCCAATTTATAGGTCCAATATCTGGCTTCCTCTTCTGGTATATCTACCATAAAAATGAAGAAATTGTATCAACCAGTATAGTTCAGTCATCAGCAGATAATACTTTATTTACTCAAATAATGAATGTAGTTAGAAAGGTGACAGTATTATATAACTTGATTCATGCTATATACATTATCTTGAGTCTCTATAAAAACCAACACAAATGCCAAGCACTGGTGGCTCACACCTGGAATCCTAGTTACTCAGGAGGCTGAGATCTGAGGATCCCATTTCAAAGCCAGCCTAGGCAAGAAAGTCTGTGAAACTCTTATCTCCAGTTAACCACCAAAAAACTGGAAGTGGTGCTGTGGCTCAAGTGGTAGAGCGCTTGCCTTTAGCTGAAGAGCTCAGAAACAGCACACAGGCCTAGAGCTTCACAACCAAAACCAACAACAATAACAACACAATATGCTACTATTCTCACTGTTTACATTAGTGCAAAAACTAGCAAACAATCTCAAGCAACGTGATAAAATAAGTTAAATTATTTATAAATTATCATCAAATAGACTTACCAAAAGGCAACTCAAATCTTGTATCAAGCAAAATCTTATGAGGAGTTGGGTTTTTAGTTCCACATATCTCATCATTTTTCATTAATGTCTCTGCTTCCAAGGTAGACCACTCCCCAGGCCCTTCCTAAGGAACAAAGATCTAAGATTAAAAATTAATCTTTTTTGGCTCCCTGAAGAGCCAGGTGATTTTCTCTTGAATTTCCTCCTCTGGGAACTTCTGAGGGCTACTCACATCCTGATAAGGCAAACATACCACTGTCACCACCTGCCACTGTACTTGGCTTCTGTTCTCCCGTGAGGCAGGGCATAGTTTTCTGTGCCCAATGAGCACAAAATTTCCACAGTATCAGACTCTAAGATCAAGATTTAATCAGAAAAAAAGGTTTAAAAAAAATCTTGATCTGTGTGGTTCTTAATGATTGTGCCACTTAATGATACATATCACTGCTTCTTATTAGTAAGAGTTACTGACATTGCTAGATGAATAGAACTGAACAAGGGCAGCAATGAAAATGAACTGTTATATGCCTGGACAGTGTATAGACCTATACAGAATTAAGGGAAATAAAGAAAATAAGTAGAAGAAACATCTTCAACTTATCCCCCGCGAATCAAAGTCCCATTTCATGTTAACGTCAAATAAGAATATAGCAGCTTCTGCCTAAGTATAAAGTAGCTATGAAGAAAATGATACTGAGTTATGCTCTAATCTGAGAAAGTAGAGTGAGAGTTCCATTTGGAAATAATGCATGGAGACAATATGAATGCCTAGTGCTAAACCTAAAAGTTCCTTAAATTTATATTATGGTTAAAAACAGAAGAGATCCTAAGACAGTTATATGGAGATTGGTGATTCAGAGAAACTAAGCAAAAAATCAGATCCAGTCAAGTAGCTAAGGATATTGAATGGGACTACTCCTAGGAGAGTTCGTAGAAGAGACATGTCCAAGCACATATGAAAACTAAAGTGGTACTCTGGCTCTTCTGAGATCAGCTACAGAATATAGGAAAGAATACACTCAACACAATCCCCTGATCCTCTGGGTAAGGTTAAGATAACATGTCCTCTATTAGAAAAAGAGTAAATCTGTGATGCATGTATCAGTTGAAGAGAATCCAAGGTGAAGAAAAGTGAGGGCTACAACCATACCTCCAATCAGAGAGCACACTGACCTCATCTGACTGACGAATAGTCTTCAGAGCAATCCACACAGTCCCCACCATTGTATCCCAGATCAGTCCTTTGTTCCATACCTCCACACTTAGACCCAAGTCCAGACGACTGATCTCACTAAAGAAAAAAAGAAAATTTTTGAGGAAAGCCAGGTAGCATAAAAGAAACTGCATACCATTTTGCTACCTTGAACACATCATTATCATGACACTTTCATAAAGGAAAAGCAAAATGTCCCTAAATAGTAGCTATAACCATTCTTTAGAAAGCTATGTAAGGAATCATTAGGAAAAGACCTTTGTAATCAGAGGTGCACTCATGTAATCCCAACATTTGGTAGGCCAAGGCAGGAGGATTACTAGTTCAAGACCAGCCTGAGCTATGTAATGAGACCCTATCTCAAAAAAAAAGGGGGGGGGGGTCAGGCACTAGTAGTTCATGTCTGTAATCTGAACCCAGCTACTCAGGAGGTAGACAATAGTCACATGGACTTTTCTGTCCATCCTGGCTTTGAACTGTGATCCTCAGATCTCAGCCTCCTGAGTAGCAAGGATTACAGGCACAAGCCTGTAATTATTTTTCTTTACACTTCTGTATAGTCTTGAACACAAAAGTTTATGGACCATTTCTAGGCCCTGAGTTCAAGTCCCAGGACACACAAACACACATACACAAACACACACACAAATACCTAAGTGTAGGACTAAGGGCATGGCTCAGCAGTAAAGTACCAACATAACAAGGATAAGGCCCTGAAAAAGGGAGAAAGACAAAGAAGTTTGGAAGAAGAGAGGGAGAGAGGATCATATCAATAACTCTTAGCTCCCTTTCTATGTCTCTGCTCATTCATTCTTAGTCTCCTTTGTCCCCTCCTTAATGCTGCTGCTTTCTAAGCTCTATTCCTTTTATTGTTGTATATATCCTCTCTCTAATCATTCTAACTATACTTATAACTCTGATTTACCAATGTATTTCTCTAAACCAAACTTCTTCCCTAATTACCAGGCTCAAGTTTCTATATATCTTCTATATTTCTCAACGAACCATATTGTAAGGGCCTCAAATATCAACTTGTACATAATTTGTCTTATATTAATCTTTAACCTAAAGAGTAGCAATATAACTGACACAATCACAGCAAACATTGGTTCTACTTCAACATCTAGCTACCCTTTCCTCTCTATCCCTTCTACTGTCCTTAGTTGTAGTCTCATAACCTTGCCCATTACTCATCAGTACTTTTAAATATTACTACAAAGCTTCTTAAGTAGTACTTTAAGAAACAAGGCATAGCTGGATATAATGACAGATAGCTATAATGCCAGCACTCTGGAGGCTCTGGCAGGAGGAGCAGATGATAAAGTCAAGGCCAGCTTGAACTACATGGGGGAATCCTGCCCCCCAAAAAAAACTGAAGGAAAAGGAAAAAGAAAGAAGTAATGTATTTGAAAACCCAAAAAACTAGATTTCTCCATAAAAATAATATTCAGGGCTAGGAATGTAGCTTCGTGGTAGACTGCTTGTTAGCATACATAAAGCCCTGGGTTCAAGTCCTCAGTACTACATAAAGAGAAAAAGCCAGAAGTGGTGCTATGGCTCAAGTGATAGAGTGCTAGCCTTGAGCAAAAGAAGCTCAAGGAAGTGCCCAGGTCCTGAGTTCAAGCTCCAGGATTGGCAAATAATAATAATAACAATAACAATAATAATATTCACTGTAACATTTTATACTATTTAATGATAATAATTAAAATAATACTAATAATCAGGCCTATGTCCCTGGAGTTGTGCTATAAAAATACGAAAAAAGATTTCAGTTCATTTTCAAATTTCACAGCAATTTCATACTCTCCTTTGACTCCCTTAATGTGCACCCCCCCCCCAAAAAAAAGGCTTTTAATAAAGATAGACTTTTATAGGAAGGAAACTGACATTTAGAAAAGCTCAATATTTAGCATAATCTTTCAATTATTCTATACTCTTTTCCCTTTTCCTAAATAGAACTGAAAAAAAACTTTTCTTCAATTTAGGAAAAAGTGACAAAAAACAGATCAAGGATTTAAAGTCAGAGGTTAAGCAGGCATAGGGGTAGAGGGTATAATCTCAGCTTTGACGATAGTGAGACAGGAGTATCTCAAGTGCAAGAGCAGCCTAGGGTACACAATGAGCTCAAGGCCATGCTGCACTAAATAACAAAATGATGTCTGAAATAAATAAATAATAAGCTTAAAGGGGTTGGGAATGTGACTCAGTGGTTGTGTACTTGCCTAGCATGCATGAAGCCCTAGGTTCAGTTCCTCAGTACCACTACACAGAAAAAGCCAGAAGTGGTGCTGTGGCTCAAGTGGTAGAGTGCTAGCCTTGAACAAAAGAAGCTCAGGGACAGCACCCAGGCCCTGAGTTCAAGCCCCAAGCCCCAGGACTGGCAAAATAAATAAATAAATTTAAAGCCAAAGCTTAAAATAAAAATATATTAATTAATTTTTAATTGTTATCATTAAGGAGTTGTTCAGAGAGGTTTCAATTCCATAAGTCAGATAATGAGTATAGTTCTTCTTGGGCAATGTCACCCCTTCCTTCACTTTCCCCCATTTAAAAATGTATTAATTTTTATGTCAGGCAGTGGTGGCTGTAATCCTGGCTACTCATGAGGCTAAGATCTGTTCAAAGCCTGCCCAGGCAGGTTAAGTTCATGAGACTCTTTTTTTTCTTTTTAATTATTGTGAAAATACCATACAGAGGTATTACAATTACATGGGCAAGATAGTGAGTACATTTCTTATCAAGCATTGTTGCCTCCTCCTTTGTTTCCCCATACCATCCCTTCCCCTCTCCACCCTCCCACCCCCACTTCCCCCTATTACCCCCCTAGCCCCCCCAACCCCCACCCCGCCAAAGTTGTAAAGTTCGTTTTTCGACATAAGGTCTTGTACATCTCATTGTTGTAATGGGTCCACCTGTAACCTTATTTAAACAGTTTTGTTTTTTCCCTTCCCCTCTACAAATTATATCAACATCAAATACAGTGGAAGCAGGGCTTATACCCTGGGGGAGGTACATTCAAAGCAACAAAGAAATCATCTTATAAATATGTTGGAAACAATCGCAAGAAAGAAAAAAACATTTGAATCCTTATCTTGGGGTTCCTTTCCCTAACATCAACTTGTCTGACAGTTTCTATTTGTCTCAGACATATACTAGTTATTGCAAATAAGGGAAAACATGGGACCTATATTTCTTTGGCCCTGGCTTACTTCACTTAATATAATTTTTTCCAAGTCTTTCCATTTCCTAACAAATGGGGCAATGTCATTCTTTCTGATGGAGGCATAGAATTCATTGTGTATTTTCTTGATCCATTCATCTACCGAAGGGCATCTGGGTTGGTTCCATATCTTAGCTATGGTAAATAATACTGCAATAAACATAGTTGTGCTGGTAGCTTTAGTCTTGTTTGTGATCATTTGGGTAAATGCCCAAAAGTAGGATTGCTGGGTCATAGGGGAGCTCTATGTGGAGTCTTTTGAGGAACCTCCATACTACTTTCCAAAGTGGTTGAACAAGTACCAACAATGCAATAAGGTTCCCTTCTGTCCACATCCCCTCCAGCATCTGTTGTTATTACAGTTCTTGATTATAGCCATTCTAACTAGGGTGAGGCGGTATCTCAATGTTGTTTTGATTTGCATTTCTTTCATGAGACTCTTTTGTTCAATTAAGCACTGGAAAATCAAAGTGAAGCTGTGGCTCCAAGTAGTAGAACATTAATCTTGAGCAGAAAAGCTCAGGGACAGTGTCCAGGCCCTGAGTTCAAGCCCTACGACCAACACAAATCAATCTATCTATTTATCTATCTATCTACATACATACATACATATATAAATTTCTACATCATACACAACAAATTCAACTTTTTACTTTGTGTGTGGGTGTGGGTGTGGGTGTGGGTGTGTGTGAGGGAGAGAGAGAAAGAGAGAGAGAGAGAGAAAGAGGGAGAGAGAAAGAGAGGGAGAGAGAAAGAGAGGGAGAGAGAGAGGGAGAGAGAAAGAAAGAACTGGAGCTTAAAGTTGAATTCAGGGCCTAGGTACTGTCCCTGAGCTTTTTTGCTCAAGGATAGTGCTCTTCCACTTGAGCCACAGTTCCACTTCTGGTTTTTTAGTGGTTAATTAAAGACAAAGACTTCCCTGCATTGGCTGACTTTGAATGGCAACCCTCAGATCTCAGCTTACCAAACTGCTAGGATTACAGATGTGAGCCACTAGCAACCAGCATAGCTTTTTCACTCAAAGATGGAGCTCTACCATTTAAGCAACAGCTCTACTTCTGGCTTTTTAGTGGTTAATTGGAGAAAACCACTAAAAAGATAAATTAAAGGGGCTTGGAAAGTGGCTCAGTGGTAGAGTTCTTGCCTTGCATGCATGAGGCCCTGGGTTCGATTCCTCAGCACCACATAAAGCAGAAAAAGCTGGAAGTGGCACTTTGGCTCAAATGGTAGAGCGCTAGCCTTGAGCTGAAGAGCTGAGGGACAGTGCCCAGGCCCAGAGTTCAGACCCCACGACTGACAAAAAAAATAAAGATAAATTGAAATCTGGGCTGGCTTCAAACCACAATCCACAGATTTCAGCCTCCTGCATAGCTAGGATTATAGTTGTGACCACTTGTGTTTGCTCTGTTTATGCATTTTTAAGTAATCAAATAAACAAAGGACATTTTATTCAAAAAAGCAAAAAACACTATAAAGCAGACGATTTAGATAGACACACAATCTCTCACAGATATAGTCACATTTCCTGAAGAGTCTTATGAGTTTTGTTTGATATCTTGCTAAGTATACTGTATTACATCCTAATTCTAACCACTGAGAAAAATCTAAGTAGTATTTTCAGCCCACATAAATTAGTTAGGAAAACTAGGCCCTGATGGCTCACACCTATAATCCTTAGGAGGCTGAGATCAGAGAAACAAAGTTAGTCCAGGCCAAAAAAACAAAAATCTAGGAGATTCTTATCTCAAAAACACTAGCAGAAATCTAGTAGAGCACCAGCTGTGAATAAGTAAGTTGAGGGAGTATACAAGACCCTGAGTTGAATACCCAGTACTGAGGCACGTGTGTGTGCACGCATACATACACAGGCACACACACACACACACACACACACACACACACACACACACACACACACACGCACTCTAATTAGGAGTATACTCACACTCATTTTTCACTTACCTCCAAGAATAAATTATTAATCCATGAGAGAAAAGATACTACAAATATATTTTACTTATATCACATCTCATTTCTTCCTGTAACTCAGCAGTTTTGGGTAAGAAAAAAAAAGAGTATTTAACATGCTCACACAATTTTAAAGTTCAAGTATACACAGAAGCATTAACTGTTTCTTCTGATGCTATCACTTGAGCAAGATTATGGAATATGCAGGATATCCTACTGCTGTAAAGTACTTACAACATGAAATCTTGTTCCCAAGAAGGTTGATCACCACGAACTGCTACAGTTGTACTCTTCACATTCTGTACTTTCAGGGTCACATATGTGTTAAACTTATCTTTTAAAAAAATGCAAAATGAAAATGTGATAATTAATGCTCAAATTGTTACTCAATCTCACACAGACCTTAGAATCAAGTAATATACAAATTAAAGTATTAAATTGCAAGAAAAAATAAGCTATATATTGTGTAATTCAAAGTACAGTAGAGTTGCAAAAATTATAAAAGTATATAGTCTCTTCAATAACATAATCTAACTTTGTGTTTTTCTATATATTTGTTTTTTTTTGGGGGGGGGGGTCCGGTCGTGGGGCCTGTACTCTGGCCTGGGCGCTGTCCCTCAGCTCTTCAGCTCAAGGCTAGCACTCTACCACTTGAGCCACAGTGCCACTTCCGGCTTTTTTCTTTTTGCTTATGTGGTGCTGAGGAATCGAACCCAGGGCCTCAGGCATGCAAGGCAAGCACTCTACCACTGAGCCACCTTCCCAGCCCCTTTTCTATATATTTGTAATCAGACATTATGGCACATGCTTATAATTCCAGCATTCAGAAACTAAGCAGGATTATGAGTTCAGACTCAGCTAGACAGCAAGACCATGTCCCTCCCCCCAAAAAATACAGATACATATGCTCTACTACATATATATATGTATGTGTGTATGTATGTATGTATGTATGTATATAAATATACATTTTGCCAGGCACCAGTGGCTCCTGCCTGTAATCCTAGCTACTTAGGAAGCTGAGATCTGAGGATTGCAGTTCAAAGCCAGCCTGGGCAGGAAAACCCATGAGGCTCCAATTAACCACCAGAAAACCAGAAGTGGTGCTGTGGCTCAAAGTGGTAGAGCACTAGCCTTAAGCAAAAAAGAGCTCAAGAACAGTGCTCAGGCTCCAAGTTCAAAAACCTATGACCAACATATATGTATGTATGTGCATTCATATGTATTATAAATATATATATACATATATATATTTGCAGTAGAGCATTTGTCTAGCATGCACAAGGACACCTTCAGAAGTGGAGGTAGGAGGATCATGACGGACAGAGCAAAAGCAGAATATCCTAGCTGAAAAACATAAGAACATAAAGGCTGGAGGTATGCCTCAAATGATTTTATTGCTCATAAGTTGAAGCCATGAATTCAAAAACCACTATTGCCAAAAAAAAAAACAAAAAAAAAACCAACAACAACAAAAGAAGATAAAGTAGACAATAGTAAATGTACAAGAATATTTGTTTATAATACCAAAATATTGGAAAAAAACTAAATACTCATCCATCAGAGATCTTGGATGAAAATCTACAACAAAAAAATTGCACAGCACTTTAAAAGAAAGAACTAGAAGCCAGGCATGGTATATTGGAATGTCCTATGAGTTCCATGCCTACTTGGTCTATATAGTGAGAAAAAAAAAAGGTGGGAACAGAAGGAAAGACAAGGGGAGGAGAGGACAATACATATGAAGAAATGTTCATGATAAATAAAGTATATGGCACAGTATGATTCATTATACCTACAGAAAAGATCTGAAAATATATATATTAAAAGCTCTAAATAATTGTGGGTTGTTTTTTTTTCTAGGTCATGGGGCTTGAACTCTGGGCTTGGGTGCTGTCCCTGTGCTCTTCAGCTCAAGGCGAGTGCTCTACTGCTTGAGCCACAGCACCACTTCCGGTTCTAGCGGTTTATTGGAGATAAGAGTCTCACAGACTTTCCCAGGCTGGCTTTGAACTGTGATCATCAGATCTCAGCCTCCTGAGTAGCTAGGATTATAGGCGTGAGTCACTGGCGCCCGGCTTAGTTATTTTTGAGAAAGAGAACTGGGTTGCTCAAGAGGAAATAAAATGAACTTTCATTGATAAATATAAATATACAGATTCCTTCAATTTGTTCAACACCATTGATTTTAATTAATAATTTCATTTAATTTTGTGTGTGTCAGTCCTTGAACTAAGGGGCAGAGAGTTGTCCCTGAGCTTTTCTGCTCAGGGCTAGTACTCTGCCACTTGAGCCACAGCTCCACTTCTGGCTTTTTGGGTAATTAGAGTCTCACAGACTTTCTTGCCTGAGCTAGCTTCAAATAGTGATCCTAAGACCTCAGTCTACTAAGTAGCTAGTATTACAGGAGTGAGGCACTGGGACCAGGCTTTAAGTCACAGAATCTAGAGAAAAAACACATAATAATAGACAGCTTGACTTACCTGGTGAACCCTGGAATTTGGCTCTTTTAACTACAAGAGAAAAACAGAAGATACCATTAAGAATTAACCAACAATGCTTGAGTACCTTCTATATTCCATTATTAAAGGTAAGATTAGATAGTTAAGTCTAATTCTTTTTTCTTTTTTCTTTTTTGCCAGTCCTGGGACTTGAACTCAGGGCCTGGGCTTTGTCCCTGAGCCTCTTTGTTCTTAAGGCTAGCACTCTACCACTTGAGCCACAGAGCCTACTTCTGACCTTTTCTGTTTATGTGGTACTGAGGAATCAAACCCAGGGCTTCATGCATGCTAGGCAAGCACTTTACTAATAAGCCACATTCCCAGCCCCAAGTCTAATTCGTAAGAAGTTGAATGGTAACCCCTTCATAGAATACTTAAAGAAACTAAAAATATAAATTTTAAACTATATATATACTGCAATTTCTATAATTCCATTTTACAAATGCAAACCAAAACCCTCATGGCACAATCAAAATGGGTCAAAAACTTGTATGAGCTAACATTATAAAACTTTTAAAAAAGGTCTTTGTGACTTTAGTTAGACAGCCGTTTCATGAGTATAAAACCTAAAGCCAGGCACTGGTGGCTCATGCCTATAATCCTAGCTACTCAGGAGGCTGAGATCTGAGGATCACGGTTCAAAGCCAGCCTAGGCAGGAAAATCTATGAGGCTCTTATCTCCAATTAACTGACAGAAAAACCAGAAGTGGGGCTGTGGCTCAAGTGGTAGAGAGCTAGCCTTGAGCTGAAGAGCTGAGGGACAGTGCCCAGGCCCAGATTTCAAGCCCCATGACTGACAAAAAAACAAAAACAAAAACCTAAATCAAGCAAATAAACAAATGCCAATAGTGGGGCTTCGTGGTATTTTCAACAGTCACTGAATTTCCTGCTACAATATAAGAGTGGTAAATTGGCATATAAGGTCAAAGCATGCTCATTGGGGCATGACATAAATTAGTTATATTTGGGGGTAGTATTTTTATCTTAAGCTCTCTCTAATGCAAATTATACATTGCAAATTTGTTCTGTTAACTACTACTCTGAAATTGAAAAAGAGTTACATTGACATTCTGAATGCTTCTAAGTAAATACAATTTTTTTAATTTTTATTTTGTCAGTCGTGGGGCTTGAACTCTGGCCTGGGCGCTGTCCCTCAGCTCTTCAGCTCAAAGCTAGCACTCTACCACTTGAGCCACACTGCCACTACTGTGGTTTATTGGAGATAAGAGTCTCATAAACTTTCCTGCCGAGAAAAAAGAATTTACATGGTGAACTTCCCTAACCCAAAATGCTATGAGCACCAGAACACCAAAAAAACTTTAAATTTTGGAGCACTTTGGATTTTGAGTGCTCAACCAGTAAAATCTATGCTGTAAAATACTATAAAAAATACTGTAAAATCTGACAAATTCCAAAACTGGAAGTAATTTTTAGCCCCACATCAGATAATGGGTACAAACCTATATACAAATGGGCCAGTAAGTTCATGAAAGATGTTCCACTTTATCAGAGCAATATAAATCAAGCCAAGCACCAGTGGCTCACGCCTATAATCCTAGCTACTCAGGGGACTGACATCTGAGAATAACAGTTTGAAGCCAGTCCAGGCAGGAAAGTTCATGAGACTCATATCTCCCAATTAACCACCAAAAGCCAAAGCGAGTGATGGCTTAAGTGGTAGAACACTGGCCTTGAGCAAAAAAGTATATACAGGGGCTGGGAAGGTGGCTCAGTGGTAGAGCGCATGCCTTGCATGCCTGAGGCCCTGGGTTCGATTCCTCAGCACCACATAAGCAAAAAGAAAAAAGCCAGAAGTGGCGCTGTGGCTCAAGTGGTAGAGTGCCAGCCTTGAGCTGAAGAGCTGAGGGTCAGCGCCCAGGCCCAGAGTTCAGGCCCCATGACCGGACTCAAAAAAACAACAACAAAAAAAGTATATACATATGTATAAACACATATATTTTATATATACAAACACATATATACATATATGTATATGTAATACATGTATGTATTACATATACATATACATATCACAAATAAGGTACTATTTCTCACTCATAAAACTGGCAAAAAGAGTAAGAAAAAAATTTAGACCCAGCCAGGCACAGTAGCTCACACCTGTGAATCCCAGGCTAAAAGTTTGCAAGGCACTATGTTAACCAGTAAATATGGGCCTGGTGCTACAACTACATGGGAAGCTTAAATAAGATTACAGTCCAAGCTGATCCAGGCATAAACTCAAGACCTTATTCAAAAAATAATTAAAGTAAAAATGGCTGGGAGCATGGCTGAAGTGGTAGATTACCTACCTATTATATGCAAGTCCTGTGTTATATCCCAGTACAACCAAAGAACAAGCAAGAAAGACAGTATCAGGCTTGGATGTGAAGAAAGTAGGTCCTTCACTCACTGCTGATAGAATTGGCACTTTGGAAAACAGTCTGAAGTTCCTCAAAAGGTTAAAGAGTTATTTGGATCCTGTAAGAATTCTACTCCTAAATACATTCAGAAGAAATGAAGAGTCGGGCACTCATGGCTCACATCTGTAATCCTACCTACTCAGGAAGCTGAGATTTGAGGATGGAAGTTCAAAGCCAGCCCAGCAGTAAAGCCCATGAGAATCTTATCTCCAATTAATCACAGAAAAAAAAAAGGAAAGTGGAGCTGTGGCTCAAGTGGCAGAGCAGAAGCCTTGAGCAAACAAGTTCAGAGACAGTACCCAGTCCCAGAGTTCAAGCCCCAGGACCTACAAAAAAAGAAAAGACATGAAATGAAGACATATACCCAACATAGAAACATGTACACAAATTTTCATGGCAGCATTAATCAAGAGGATTCAAAGGTGAAAACTCCCCAAAATACTGATTAACTGAAGAAAGGATAAACAAAGTATGATAAAAAAAACATTAAATGGGATATAATTCAGCCATGAAAAAGTACAGATATATACTATGAGTGAACAAGTGTTTGCTAACACAAAGAAGCCAGTCACAAAGGACCATACATTACATTATTCCTTATATATACTTCCAAAACTGTAAAAATCCATAGAAATAGAAAGCAGGTTAATAATTACTAGGAATGGAGTAAGAAGAAAAGATTGTTTAAAGGATAATGATTTTTTTTAAAGTGTTTATTCAAGCCCCATGACTCACAAAAAAAAGTTTTTAAAATAAAGAGAGGTAATGATTGCACAAGATTGTAAATATACTAAAATCCATTGAACTGAACACTTTAGGATAATAGAGCTGGGTTTGGAGGGATTCCTGTAATCCCAGGACTTGGGAGGTTGAGACATAATAATTTTGAGTTCCAAGCCAGCTTGGGCTACATAAAGAGAATCTATAATAATAATAATAATAATATGCTAATGCTACGTTAATTTCCCTTGAACTTAAAAAGTCTATATATTAAGATGCACATAAATATTCATAGCAGAGCTAGGCATGTTGGTATGCATATACCTGTAATCTCAGCACTCAAGAGGATGGAGCAAGAGGAACATTAGTTTGGAGCTAACATGGACTGCATAATGAGACTCTGGCTCAAAAAACATTCACATGTATATAAATGCTTTCATATATTGACATGAATAGGAACAAAGATACAAAAGGATATATACTAAGTGTGCTGTGAACATAATATATCTCTGGAGATAAGTCAGGAAGAAATGTAAAACTAAGCCAGGTTTGGTGGCTCAACCCTGTAATCCTATCTACTCAGGATTCTGAGATCTGAGGATTGTGGTTCAAAGCCAACCAGGGCAGGAAAGTCCATGAAACTCTTATCTCCAATAACCACTTAGAAAACCAGAAGTGGCTCTTTAGCTCAAGTGGTAGAGTACTAAGGTCGAGCTGAAGAGCTGAGGGACAGCGCCCAGGCCCAGAGTTCAAGCCCCACAACTGACAAAAAAAAAAAGAAAGAAAGAAAAGAAATGTAAAACTATCAAATTCTTAAATTTTCAAATCTTTATATTGTTCACTAATTAAAATAAGCACAAATTACTGTCTATATGTAAAAACCATTAAATGCACAGCCTGGTACTTGTGGCTCAATCTGTAATCCTAGCTACACAGAAAACTGAGATCCGAGGATCATGATTTAAGGCCAGCACAGGCAGAAAAATTCACTAAACTTTACCTCCAATAAAGATAACCAGCAAAATAAAGCAAAGGGAGAGGCATGGCTCAAGTGGTAGCATGGCAGTAGAGCAATCATGAGTCCCGAGTTCAAAGTCCAATACTACCAAAGAATATAAATTAATCAAATATGTAATAAAAAATATTATATAGCTCAACTATTTCCTCAAGACTGAAAAATAAAACCTGATTAAACAACAAACTTGATGCCTAATTATGAAGCTAATTTAAAAGGAATGCTTTCAGAATCAAAGCTATGAGGGGCTCCAGCACAGAATTCATCTTTTTCCACACCATTATGTTCAAAAAAAATGAAGAGAAAAGATGTGTAGGAAAGTAATAGTCACAATAGAATACTTAGGCTCCTACAAGACTCCAATGTGAAAATCCTAAAGCCAGGCTAAAAAAAGATAATCCGGGAAGAACATTTTTCCCTAAAGTATATTTTTCCTTAAAGTAAATTCAGAAATAAGAGAATATATAAGATCTGTACCCATCTCTCAAAAAAAAATCTTCAGCTCCCAAGTTCCTCTGACCTTATTGTGGAACCAAATCTGCACTCTGAGATTACAGGAAATAATCCTATTTGCAATGACTGCAATCACTGACCTGGTTCTCCAGGCATAGGGAATGGCTGAGCTATCTTGTTTTAGGCTATGCTGTCATGAAACAATTTCCAAAGGCTTGTGACACTAGTGCCCTTGATTGTAACTGCTTCAGAATCAGCATTAAAAAGGTATATCACTATATACAATAAGTAATTGTTTATTTGAAAGTTACCTTTTTTTTAAGATAGTAAACACATATAATTCTACCACCCTGTTTTCATTCTGTCACTGTTTAAACACTGAGGTAAATTTGCATATTCTGTTG